TGACAGCTTGAGCGCAATCGAGCTGAGCTCATCCAAACCAGCCACATCTTCTTCCAACCCAGGCATCTCGAAAAGATCATAATCGGAATCACACTCGGCACCAGTAGGGGGCAATGTGCCCTTCTGGAAGTATTCTCGTATATAAGTAAGGGAGCATGCTGAGGGCGCCGCCAACGAACAATGCTTTGGCTCAAGTTAGACAGAGCGACACAGAAATAGGAGGAGACTTACACCATAGGAGTTCTGCTTGAGAACAACTGAGCTGGGGAACTTGGCAGAGTTGTTAAATGCACTCTGCAAGGGCGTCACATTATCTGCCATATTACCAATGTACAGAATTGGATAGGCAGTATCGCCCCTAAAGTCGGCTTCTCAGAGTTAGTCTCATATCATGGATAGTAGGTATTATGGGTGATTCACCATCTGTAAACTTCCACTTTGGCCTTGTCTTTCTTCCCACACAGGATACACGGAAATTGGAGTTGACTGCTCCCGCCCAACGACTCTTGTGTGTGATTCTGTCAAAATAGTCTGCAATCTCCTGCGGTGTTTCTGTCACAGGCTTTGAGTCCAGACACATAATAGCAGGGAAAGCGTCGAGCTCCATGGGGGTCTCAAGGGGCATGGTTGCAGGAGTTTCTCCCAGCTCGCACATATCTCCGTTGAGGCTCTTGTCTTTACCCTCCATTACCATCTCATAATAGGGGATTCCATCGCCCTTTTCTAAAGAAGCGAAAACACGAGCAAGTTGAGGGAACTTCCTGAGCGGTGAATAAATGGAGGTTTGGATAAGGCGTTGGAGATGGGAATAGGTGATGAGGAGAGGTAGTTCAGGGCCGGAATCGTGAGTCCAAGCTGGAACGAGAACGGGCGACTTTTTAAGATGCGCGAGGAGATTGCTTCGACGTTCCTCAATGGCCTTTGGCGAGTCTGCATAAAAGGCACATTTGAGGGGCCCGGATTTGTGGCAGGCTTTATCGAAGCCGTCGAAGATCATGTCTGTGTCAGAGACAAAGTTGCCGTGATCCAAGTTGAACCAGTCGTGATAGTCAACATTTCCTGGCTCAAGTCAGTCAGAACTACAATGACATATGTATGTAAACTCACCGTCGCTGACCAGTCTCTCAACACGCTCAGGGTACAGTCCAGCAAAAACACCACCAAGAACAGTGCCGTAGCTGAATCCCCAGTACCGTAGCTTCTCATGACCTGTCTTGTCAAGAATTTCAAGCATGTCTCGGGCAATGGATGCACTCCCTAGGAACTCCATGAGACCCGTTTCCTCCATGGCCTGCTCACAAGTTCCGGAGTAGGCAGATGCTCGGGCATAGGCATCGTAGATAAGACCTGGGTGTTCGTCGGCAACGGGTGTGTCTTGTAGACTCCATAGCTTTCTCTTTTGAGAAGAGCCCCAGCATTCAACTCGAGGTGTAGAGACGCCGACTGTGAAGTGTTAGATGATGCAGCGGTACTTGATAAGGACTGGCGTAACTCACCTCCACGGGGATCAAAGCTGATAACGTCCTGGAATTGTAAGTACAAAGCTTGGCCAGAGTTTTCGGCTTTTCAACTTACATGGTTGTCACCAACAGCTGCTTGCAGGATATGTCCCTCTTTTCTTACAAAGTTAACTCCCGATCCGCCAGGTCCCTACGTCCATGAGTCAGCCCCAGAAGCTTCAGGCACAAAGAGATCTTACTCCAGGATTCACAAAGAGCGGAGAAACGGGGTTGTCATGTGTCTTGGCCGGTAGCTTGATAACACCAAGAACAACTCTCTTATCATCCGAGGGCGCAAGCCAGTCCATGGGGACCTATGTCCAAGTCAGCATATACAACAACAGGACATGGTGAATTACTAACGTCAAGTCTTGCACACTCAAACTTTTCATAGCACGGTTCCCAATGGAGTTTTCGGCTTGGCTTGACCTAATCCTTTTGTCAGTCTACCTTTTGGGTTTCTTATCCATGGTGTATATATGTATGCTTACATCGTTCCAAGTCCATGGCTTGTCTGCTGGATCCTCGATGTTCACTGGGTATGGATAAGGTCGGTGGTGGAAGAATGTGATAAGACAAACAGCCGCCAAAAGGCCTAAGATGGTGGAATAATGTGACTTTCGTGGTCGTTGTTGAAGTCGTCCTCGTATGAGAGGCGTTGCCTCTAAGGTCGCCTTTTCACTCATAGTAACAAGCCAGCCAGAGCACGGTCAGATAGATCAAGGTTACTCGCTTCAAGTAAATCAAGAATACAAAACACTACTCGCAAACGCAAAAATCACCAAAGAGAAAAGATGTAGAGATAAAACCAAGGAAAACAAGAAGGGCAGAGAGAATTGGACCCTTGACTTGACTTGAGTCGGTCGGACACCTCCCAGTTACGAATTAAAGCCTTTTGCCTAAGACATGCAGCGGCTCGATAAGAGATCGTCCGTCCGTCAGCTGGCAAACAGGGCAGGCTACTATAGTACTAACCCGGCCTTTCAGCCCGCCATGAGAGTCTGTCTAGGGCCTCTGCTAGGCTTCTCCCTGCAACTGCGACGCTCAGAGTTCTGCTTACGTCGTCCTATCAGACGGCAGTTTATTCCAATCACCTAATTTGGCATGGGTCATGAGATGTCATTTTGATCTTCAATGTCTTCCTAAACTAATTCCCCGCATGTTCCGGCTCAACAGCTGTTGTCTTGATAAAATAACCATCCAATCATTCCTATTCCCGTCTGAAAAGCTTCGGAACCAACAATGTTTGATCAAAAGTGTGTAGAGCGACAACGATAAAGAACAACTTGGGCTTCTTGGGCTTGGGATACTGGAACTTCGATCATTCCCGCCAAAGTCACATCGCAAATAAATTGGTGTCGGTGTGTAACTCATGACGAAGAAAAATGGCTTTTTCTATAGTATCCCAACGCCGTGGTATGCCTTCGAATCAAAAACACCCATAACGCCCTGTCTCGTAGACCTCTCGCTGTCTCTGCCATGTAAAACTTTTCTCTTTCAGATTCTTTCCCCCATGGCTTTTCCCACTCAATCGGCATCCATATCGATATCGTCCATCTCATCATCCTCGTCACCATCCTCGTCCTCATCGTCTTCATCGTCGAACATACCGCTCTCGCCCTCTTCATCTTCATCATCATCCTCGTCAACCTCGAGCGCGATGGCGACCTTCTTCTTCTCGCCACCGAAGGCCTTGGTCTTCTCGCGATCAGGCTCCATCTCCTCGATCTCCTCCTCGGTCATGCCCAGGTCGCGCAGGCGCTTCTTCTCGCTGCCGCGCATGCGGGGCAGGAGATGCTCATTCTCAGCGACCAGCTTGCGGGCGAGGGCGAGCTCACGCTCACGCTTGCCAGCCATGCGCTTCTTGTAGAAGACGCGCTCACGACGTTGGCGGATCTCGGACACACGCTCCATGGCCTTGAGGGTCTTGGCCATGAGGTCTCGGTCGTAGCGAACGGGAACGTTGCGGCGGGCGGCGAACTGCAGTGTTGAGTCGACAGTCATCTCCTTGCCAGCGGCCTTACGGAAAGCCTTTGTCCACTTCAGCTTGCGAGGGTTACGCTTCATCTTGAACTGTAAAACTGTATCAGCGGCGAGGTCTTTGGTAAGTTGAGATTTGTAGACGTACGTTCTTGTGGCATTTGCTGCGACAGAAGCGAAAGACTCTGGCATCGTTTCGCACAAAGGTGATGCCCTTGCTGGGATAAGCAGGGCGACTGCAAAAGTAACAGGTTTCGATTCTGAAGCATTTTTTTAGCTGAAGTTCATGGTAGAGCTCGAGTCGCTATATGACAGATGCTCGCGCTCGCAGAGGACGGACTCCAAACATTCCACCTCTGCAAGACCGAACATCCGGTATAGGACCCTTAAGCAATAAAGACATACCTCATTTTGCCTGGGTGGTGGTCTGAAAGACCAAAACAACTTCAATTCGACTTCCACCCCACTGGTTTGAACAGCCTTCTCTTTTCCGCGGTCAGTCAAAAAACTTTTTGCTGAAACTGTCTTATCGATAACAGTTTTGCACCCCGGACAAACTTTTGTCCCCGCGCCCCTCTCTCCGGTCCGCGCCGGCTGGAAAAATCAAGTGGCTCCGATCTCGAATTCCGAATAACTCTGCGTCACTGAACTTATTGTCAATCGCAATCGCTCTACAAAATGGCTTCCGTTATGGCTATAGGTGCCGGCGCTGCCGTCGCGGCCTTTTTGGTATGTTTGTAGTGATTCCAGGCAGTGACTCCGGGCACTAATATCTCTTACAGGGCCGGGCTGGACTTGTCGCATGGAGGCGATCTCGAGGCGGCGTTGGAGCCATGGGCAAGGCCTTCTACAAGGGTGGTTTCGAGCCCAAGATGACCAAGAAGGAGGCTACTCTGATTCTGTCTCTCAAGTACGTCGCCACCCACTTCTTCTCATACTCAACCGACTAACATCTTCTAGCGAGCGAGCTGTCACCAAGGACAAGGTCCGAAAGGCTCACCGAACTCTCATGCTTCTTAACCATCCCGATCGAGGCGGCAGCCCCTATCTTGCAACCAAAGTAAACGAGGCCAAGGAGTTCTTGGACAAGAACGGTTAATTACGGCCATGAAAATTACTCCCCCAAGTCCGGTATTCGATTCACGAACCAGTAACCAAAGCCGTTATCAGAATCATCAATGACTGGGTCTAAGCGTGGGCGTCTGGCCGCGTGTGTATATTGTACACTACTTGTTTCCATAGCGATGGCGTTTGTTGGGTTTAGAGGAAGCTCTTTGGAGCCAGGTGAAGGTATATATGCCTTTGTTAAAAGCTATCAAGGCTCGACGCTGTATGAATAAAGGGTCCCAAAGACCCGTTCTCTTCTCACTCCGGTTTTTGTTCTGATGTTACTTTACATCTGTCTCGAAATGTTATTTACCCCCTCTCAGGTCCCATTTCGTTCTGGGAATTGCCAAGTTGATCACCTAAAGCATTTTATGGATGCATGTCTTACATCTCTCCCAGCTTCGAAAATATTCTTTAGTCAACCTTGTTGAGCATCTTATTGCTCAACTCTTCTTCCTTCCGAATGTCTTCCAGTGCAATACCAAGCATGGCACAGAGTGTGTAGTGCGCGTCGTTTCCTGCATTGTGCAGGTGCTTATGGGCGATATCAAGATCGTTCAGTACGGCACCGAGACTTCGTCCATTGGTTGAGCCACGCCAGGCTTGGTGAATGTCTTGAGTGTCCACCGGTTCCGCCAGCCCTCCGAGGAATCTTAGGTCCAAGCCCAGTTCAGTGAAGTAGGCGATGTCTTGTTTCACGTCATGTCCGACGACGACGATGTTTCGTTGATCATTAAGCCACGGGTTGAAGATTTCCATGATGGAGTCTGCGACCGTTGCATTAGTTGGGAATGTGCTCGTCCTGTGTGACAGTTAGTAGCTTGTTGGAGTTTGGGGACGACTTCCTTACCCAAAGTCAAAATCGTCAGGGCATCCCTTGACGAATTGATAGTTTCGCAAACCAGCAAACTCATAGACTCGGAGATGGTGAGTCTTGATTAGGGGCCACCAGCCACGGCCGACAATCTTAGGATCGACGCCTTTGGTGTCTCGTGTGTCGAGGATAGCGATACCAATTTCAGAGACGGGGTTGGGCTTTCTTTCAATGGCTTCAACATCGACGCAAATGAAAACAACGTCGTAGCCATCGGGATCTCCCAGAAGGCCAAGACATCTCTGGGTGTTGCGAAGCATTCGCTCTCGGTGACTCTTCTTTCTTGCAGCCTTGTCAGGATCTGCCCTGTTTCTGGGTGGAAAACCGGACTTGACAATTCGAAACTTTGCTTTCCAGGCCAGTTGCTGTTTTGGGGTTGCCGCCTTGAAGCCTTTGATATCATCTTGGTCGATAGCGGGCCATGGCCGAGCATCAAGAGATGTCTCTTCCTCCGATCGTTTCAAGTATCGAGGGCGAGGGGTGCCATGTTCGCCGAATTTGAGGTAGAACTTTTCCATGTTCACACCGGGAGGGATCTTGAGAGAAGTGTCAAGCTCGAGGTTGATTTCTTCAAGGAAGACTTCGAACTGAGCGGTTGGAATCAAAAGGTAGGGGTCTCTAGCCGGCTCCTCTGGATCATGAAGATAGAAGCTTGTCAAGTTAGCACTATACATCACATTGATCAGATTGACCTACAAGTCCCAGGTTTTCTCGAAGAGGATTCTGGTGAAAAACGGCTTTGTCTGTAGAGTGGTGAGCTGGTGAGCTGGTGGAGAGTTGTTGAAACTGTAATACGTACACGAGGCTTGTTGGCCTTGCCCACGAAGCGTTCAGGATACGAGATCACAACTTTGAAAGGACAGAAAGTGAAATTCTTGGAGACCGCCTGGCAGATGCGAAACTTGGAGTTATCAAATGCCTTTGCCTTCTTCTCGGCAAGTTCGTGGCGTCTGGCGGCATAAGTATTGGCCTCTTGTTGCTGAACAGTTTGAGAAATCTGGTCTCTGGTAGCTTGTCTCTGATGCTCCATCATCCAGCCGTAGTTGTTGTCGGCTCCTTCGCCGACTGAGTTGTCTGAAGTTTTGTTGTAGTCTTCTTCGTCTCTGGGTCTCTCCTCCAGCTTCACACCGTTGCCTAGAAGTTGCTGCAATTTAGCCAGCTGGGCATCGAGGGCCGACATGTCAGATGAAAATAGAAGTAATGAAATCAAAAGACAAGGAAGAAATAGTGAGAGTTCAACTAGAGTAGCGGTGTTGAATAATGTTGTTGTGAGATGGAAATGGAGGTGGTGGTGGTGGTGGTGAGTTAAAGTGAAGGATGAATGAAGGTGGTGAATGATTGAAAGATGGTGGCGTTAGAAGGAAGGAGATACGAAGGGGTAAACAAAACAAAAAAAGGCAGCGAAAAGCAACGTCTTAATCTCTGCGCTCAGTGAGTGCCCTGCCTTATGATTCACTGCGAAAATGTACTGAAAGTATGTGGAAGGTTTTATTGAGTCAAACAGAAACTCGTTAGGCAGTTGGTAGGTAAAATGCCACTGCTTGCACACGGCCCGTTACATGAGAAGGATAAACTTGACACCAGCCAATCAATATATTGGTACACAAACGCCCACTCCTTTTGCAAACAACAGATACATTTTTTCATTGCAAGACGGCCTTACTTTAATTTGTAGAACTGTTCCAACGTCAGTACACATTACGTCGCCTGATTCGAATAACTTACCGCGTCTGCATCTTCTGGTGATACGTCAGATACCTCTGACTGCTGTTTATCAATGAGACCCAGACGACCCCATCGGACCTTAAACCAGAAGTCTCGTCTGTCGCCTCCAAGTGCCCCGGAGATGAGCTGCTTCTTCATGTCTTGCATGAAAGTGTTATACAGGCCTGGTTCTTCGAGGTTGATCAGTTCCTCCCTCATGACGCCAAGACATTCCAGAGCACGTTGATATTTGGCATCGCCGAAGCTCTCCGTGACAAACGTAGAGATGATTGCGCCCATCTGTTTTGCTGCCTCTTCGATTTGAGAAAGCTCTTCAGTTGCAGCAAGCATCTGCTTGAACTCGGGTACTGCGTTATCAAGGCTAATGTCACCCTTCTCCTCTTCGCCCAGCAGAGCATCCACATCAAGACCAGAAATGGGTTTGACGGTTTCTCGGCCACGCTTTCCTTTGGCTTTGGGCGGAACTGGTGCCTTTCGTTAGCCATGGCACGCAATCACTAAAAGGACTAGAACAAACCTTTCTTCACATCTGCAGCTTCAACAAGGGCATCCACCTTCCTCTGAACTGTTTCGATCAGATCTTCAGTTGGGTGAGAAAATCGCAACAAGATGGAAGGAACATCTGGAACAGGTCTTTCTGGGTGCAGTGCTCGTGATTTCACGGCATGGTTCACCCTGTGAACTGTAGGGTTGAAAGTCTCGTCGACGGATACATATTCATCTTGGTCACTGCGAGAGTCAGTTACCGAAAGACCCAAGAAGGCATGAAACATACCCCTTGTCATCTAGCCCGTATGTCGACAGGTCCATTGCATCGACATAGGCGCTCATCGCATCACTCAGCTCATCCGTGGGCAATAGCCTGTGTGTTGTAAGGGTCTGGCCTGTGACCGTGATCACCTTGTCCAAAGGAGGAAACTGGTAGCTTCGGATGTCCTCTGCAAATGGCAGTGGAATATCGTACAGGCATTCCATGTCTGGCTCGACGCCGGGTGCGAGCAACACCAACAAGGGGTCTTTGCCATCTTTGGTCACAATTCGGGCGACTGCATAAGACTCAAGCTCCGAGAGTGCCCATATAAGGGACGAGAGGGCAAGAGCTGATTTGGCATCGAACTTGCGAGCTATTGTCACGCAAGTCTCGCCGAGGTTGAGGAAAGGCTCGTACTGGAAACCGTCAGCACTAGAAAGGACAGGGTACCCGGGGACAGGAATACCTTTGAGCATGGAATGAAGCCAACGATTGAGAAGCTCTTTTGGGTATCAATCTTGGTGATGTTGTATTCTGACTCGCTGATATGCACTGCAGTTCGGCCATATTCATAGCCCTTGGCAAGATCATCAAACTCAACGTCTCGTTTTCCTCCTGGTGCATCTGGGTCATTGACTTTGTAAGAACGAGCTTGCTTCACAGCAGAGAACTCAATTCCCTCCATATCGTCAGCGTCAACAGGCGTGGGTTCAGAATCCGGTGCACCGTCTGCCTTGACAACGACTGTGCTTGCAGTCAAAGGTCGCGCCAGCTTCGTCTTGAAATATCTTTCCACATTGATATTCAAGGCGGCAGGAAATATGTTGGGGTCTCCGAGGGTAAGAGGACCATCGTAAGTCTTGTAAGGCTTCACTGCCTTGATTCGTGGGGTATCTAACTCGTCGATGGCCTCTGTAATGTTCGCAATAACTCCATCTTGACAGTCATTGACAAGCGATCTCAAGGCTTGCTCATTCTCTTTCTATGAACTTTTAGTCATGGTCCTTACCGTATCCTATCATACTAACCTTTGTGCTCGGCTTATCCTCTTCCTTAAAGCCGTATTCCGGGTCATCAAAGTCAACTCCCCTGTATCACGTTAAAAATGTCGTTAAAATATCCATTCAACTTACAGGACAGTGAGCTGGATGTTGGAATCGTTCATCTTCTTAGAAATGTCACCCAAGTCATCCGCATCCATTGGGCTTTGGCCGTCCGTGACCAAGAAGATTTTCCTGTTCCACTTGAGCTTCTTTGTGAATGTATCAATCATATCAACAGCCAACACAATAGCTGATACAGCATCTCCAGACCATGTGTTGCTCGGCTTGACAAGTGATTGAAGATCCCTCAGAGATGACATTGTCATCGGTCCCAGCTCCTGCAACACCGCGATGTTCTCATACCCATCATCGTCTTGTAGCTTGTTGTCAGTCTCATCTGTTCTCAGACCCAAGACGCCAACGCATAGCGTTTTCCTGTTTGCTGCCACAATGTCTATGATTTTGTCCCATACGTATTGCATGCTGTACTCTAGATCAGACTCTGATCTTCCATTGTGAGTTTGGGCCATAGTCGACCCAAGGTCCAATATGAAAACGGTCGCTTCCTTCTCAGCCATGGTGGAGATGGTTTGTATGAAACCTGGTGATACTGACAGAACGTCGTAAGACGGAAGACGGGATCAAGAGTTTGAAGTCAATCAAATCTTGCTATGATGGAAGGAATTCGAAAGAGTGAAAGACACTTAAAATGCCAGTCGCGCTTTTAAATGAATGGCAACCAAAAGAAACGTCTCACAATGAATCCTTGTAATCATTAGGCAGAACCACCCCAAGATGTACTAAGGTTGGTGACCCATCGCGTCTGACGGGTCAAAGCTCCTGTCAACCTTCTCACGACAAGACGCGCGAGATCACGTGCAACTGATGCCTGATAAAACCCCGTACATTGGATGAGTCTATTCAGCCACCAGAAATGCAAGAGAACCTAAGAGAAAGTACGGATACTACCAAGGTAATGAAACAAGCAAACCCCAATAGGGCATGCATGTCTCTTCAATCATGAAGATCATTCCATCATGGAGACTGCAACACGATATGGAGCCTGTATGATCACGTGACTAGATGTGATATCATGACTATCGAAACACCTCAGTGCCTAGGTAAGTTGGATCTGATACAATTCATCAAACACTCACAAGTGAAGAATTGCAATAATGGCAAGCACAGCAAAGGCAGTGGCCTTTTCGCCGGCTCCTTATCATATCATAACGTAAGTTTACATGAGTTCGCGAAGTCAACCGCAGTCAGGAAAAGCATCGCTGACTCTACGGCAGCTATGGAACTCTACTTGGAACGACTTTCTTCCATGTATGTATCTCACAAAGCTACCAACGTTGCAATTCTAACAGCCGAACAGACGTTCATCAATGGCATCGTTATGTTCAGGACGGTCGACCGTCCTAGCTTCTCTGCCATCCAGCAGAAACTCTTCCCTATCTACTTCGGCCTCCAGACCGTCTTGCCCGGTGTTCTAGCTTTAACATATCCCGGAAACACATTGATTGGTCTGTCAAATGGCCCTGCTGGCTTGATCTCTGAGTTTGCCCGCTGGCACTCCCTGCTACCTATCAGTGTAATGGCCTTTACTGGAGTTGTGAACCTCCTTGTCTTCCTGCCTATGACAGTCGAAGTTATGAAGCAGCGACGTGGCCAAGGTGCGTCAATCTTGATGGGGTCGATTTGAGAGACACTACTAATAACCTATAGTCAAGCGAGATGGCAAGGAGTGGTATGCTGAGGGACCTCAAAGTGATCAAATGAAGGCCCTGAACAAGAAGTTTGGCATGCTTCACGGTATCTCATCCTTGTTCAACCTCATCACTTTTGCAGCTGCTGTTGGGTACGGTTTCACTCTTGGTGGTCGTGTTCTGTCTGTTGCAGACCTTGCTTGAATAATGCACTATTCAAAAGTGAATTCATATTGAAACTCTAAATTGATAGAAATGCAAATGCTCTGCTCCGCCTAGTCTATCTACCCTGTATTCTCAGTCGTACAATCCAGATCTCTAATGTCTATTCGTAGTGTCGTAAATCGTTGAACTCTTGGTATAGCCCTGAAACAATGCGCCAGTTGGTTTTTCATAACGTGTAAACCGATACAGCTTTAAAGTCCTCCATGGGTGAAGTTAGGGGCATGTGGCTTAGAACCGCCATGAAGAACGTAGTTCCTCCTTGGCTTTCTCAAAGTCTCGCATACGCTGAGCCTTGATCTCTTCCTCGTTGCGAGCATGCTGGGCTCGGCGCTGGTTGGCCTCCATTTGTCCCTTGGTGGTCCATCGACCAGGTTGACGATCAAGCATGCTTTGGATATCGAGTTCCTCTGTAGGCTTGGGGAACTCGCGATTGAGGGCAGGAAGCTTGTGTCCAGCTTGATCGAACTCCTCGCTTTTGAATCCAGGAGTTGATACAGGAGTTGTCTCTGTGGATTGTGTCTTGTGAATGCTAAAATAGCTGTTGGCGTTGCCAGAGGTAGGAGCTGCGGTTGTTGGCGCAGTGGGATTCATGTTGTCAGATGATTGAGTGAGATGTGAATTGGTTTGGGTCTCGAGGTGTTAATGATTCTTGTGTGATGCGTACGGCCAAGAAAATGTATGTGTGAGACAGCCTTTATATAGGTTTTCAGGGGATAGATATCCTGATAGCTGTGATATCGTGACGAGGTCTTGTGACTGGTTGCGGAGGATGCTTTGCGCTTGTTTGCTCAAAATAACAGCACAGATTGTACGAGATGATGAAAAGGTTTAAATAAAGAGTCAAAATAAAGGCAGCTCGACACGGTTCTGTAGATATTTATAATTACGTAGGTATCCATCTGGGTCTGTTATCAATTCTTTCTCTTTCTGAACCAAGTGGAAACTCCTGTCGTCGATCAGAAATGGTGTGGGACCCTTAGCGTCTCCTAGCTTCAGGGTCCACGGGCGCCACTCTCTGATACGGAAGTAACCAGGCCAGGGCAGAGCGGTGAATGGATGTTGTATTCCACGGATCCGGTTACGTTTGTCGGTCTGTAAGTCCAGCTGACGAGTAAGGAGACTCTAATCTCGCCGCCTCGGAGCAAGCGAGTGAAGAAAAAAATCAGCATGTAGGTAGACCGAAGACGGATGTAGCCCGTTATCTCCAGGAACAGAAAAAGTCTCCGTTAAAAAACGTGGAATTCTAGAAAGCCCACCGATGACGATTAGGGTGGTCCATTACTCAGGGCGGAGTTGACAAGCCAATAATAGATTGGCTCTGGTCACTGAAATGGTTGCTGGGAAGATTTCAATTTTGGAGATTCGGTCGCCACACGGAAGTGAGGTCGGATATGCAAATAATGCAGGGTTGTTATCTTCACATGAATAAGCCTCAAGTCTGCTGACTACTTGACCTAGGTATTCTCAAAGAGCAGAGACTTCGGACCTTGAGAAGGACTGATTCCTTCTCATGTATATGGAAGAAACTCCAAGGTTATAGCAACTTGCTCAGGTCTCTTATCAATTATTAGTATTGATATTTTAGATTGTCTTGCCTCCCCTAGCGATATAGTAAAAATATTTATAGTGAATCAGAGAGACTACGAAGATGATTGATTGTATTTCCGTGGCATACTACCCTATATCATTCATTCGGCATTGATTCTCAAAGACTCTATCAATAATTAACTCAATACAGAAAATGGATCTATCGTCGTGATCGACCGTGATAACCTTCTTTATTAGTAGACCCGCACGCTTTCCACGTCCAGAAGAATTACATCACAGGAAACTAAGTGGATATGACTAAGCAATTGGCCGAGTCAGACGGGACTGTTGTCTGTTGATAGGTAATGATTGATGGCCGATCTTGATTCAACCGACTGAACATATTGTCGATCATTAATCATTGTCCTCATTTGGTTATCTCGCAAATAATATGGCATCGTCACCAAAGTACATCAGCGGAGATGCTGCCGCTGTCAGCGAGTTCATCGATAAATTCGACGTGAGTCATTTACTCGTGTACCTCTCGGGCCTCAACTGACACCGATGAATAGGTCTTCCTGCTCGATTGCGATGGTAGAAAACCATGATTCTTAGCTGGACAGCGAACTGACTCATTCAGGTGTCCTATGGTCTGGCGATCATGTGTATGAGGGAGTCCCTGAGACCATCAAATATCTAAGATCAAAGGGTCAGCTTACTATCCCCTCGATCTGAAACGAGACTTACATCGGCACAGGAAAGAGAACCGTTTTCGTGACGAACAACTCAACAAAGTCTCGTGATGAATACCTAAAGAAACTCACCAATCTCGGTATCCCTAGTGAGAAGGATGATGTGTTCGGTTCAAGCTACTCTGCTGCGATCTACATCTCACGCATCTTGAAGCTACCCGAGAATAAGCGCAAGGTCTTCATTATCGGAGAAGCTGGGATTGAGCACGAACTTGATTCTGAAGGTGTTCCTCATATTGGAGGCACAGATGAGGCATTCCGACGGGATATCACAAATGACGACTTCAAGGGTATCGCTGATGGCTCACTGCTTGACCCCGAGGTCGGAGTAGTTCTCTGCGGCCTTGATTACCACGTGAACTACCTAAAGTATGCCCACGCCATGCACTACATCAAGCGAGGAGCTATCTTCCTTGCTACCAACGTCGACTCAACATTGCCAATGCACCACGATTTCTTCCTCGGAGCTGGATCTTGTCATATCCCTGTTGTTCACGCCACAGGAAAGCAGCCCTTGGCTCTTGGTAAGCCTAGTCAAGCTATGATGGACGCTGTTGAGGGCAAGTTCCAGCTCGATCGTTCTCGAACTTGTATGGTCGGTGACCGACTCAACACTGATATCAAGTTTGGTATCGAGGGACGACTGGGTGGAACACTACATGTCTTGACTGGCGTGAACAAGAAGGAGGACTGGGAGAAGGCCGATGCCATCGCTGTGCCCTCTCATTACGCTGACAAGTTCAGCGATCTTAGACTGGCGGAGAAGCAATAGATGATAGACCATGATATAGATTATAGACGAACTATGCAACTGACTTCTCTAACTCCGCTATGATGAGATTGGTCACTGCCTTATGCTGGCCAAACCCAGCAGTCAGTGCTATTGACTGATGGACAATAGGCAATGTATCTAGGTGCATATCTAAGCTTGCTTCTTGTTCTCCATCCTTTTAGCAATATCGCTAGTTCGAATGACTTTTGGCCCAGGAGTCTTGTAGGGGGTAAAGGACTTGGGCAAAAACATGCCAACCTGTTCCTGGTACATGGGATACTCCGTATACTTGCCAGCAGTGATGAGCTCAGTGAGCCAAGTTGAACCCTGGAAGAGGAGGATCAAGGCGGCAGCGCCAGTAAAAGTGTAGCTGTACATATTCTTGGTTGCGAAGCAACTCCACTGGTATAACACAAACCAAATCATTTGCTCTGCAGCAAAGTTGGGGTGTCTGCTGTAAGCCCAGAGACCAGAAGTGTTGAAGCCACGGTCAAGCTCCGCTTGGGAGTACTTGAACTTCTTGGGGACCTTGGCCTCGGCCTGGTACTGATGCTTAGCCGCGTGGTAGTCTATAGAATGGTTAGGCTGCTAAACATCAAAGGATACGAAATACTCACCCCACTGCTGGCCATCGCTAACCCACTCGCTGTAGACTAGGCCGACCATGACGAGAGCAAAGAAAATATCGGCAGAGGTCACATCCGGCTCAAACTTGGTGGAACAGAGAATGGCATACGCAGGCACGCACGAGAAGCTGAAGAGCAGAACGCTCTGGTATAAAGAAATGAAGGTGACGTTAAAGAGGAACCAGACAAATCGAGGCACATATTGCTGGAGGATGGCCCTGCATGATATGAGCTGACTGAAGAGCTATGAGTGGACGATCAACTTACCATCGATAATCTTCAGATCCTTTATTGTAACCCCCCTTACGCCAGTAATTATATGTCAAGCGGCACTGTTACACAGCATTAGCGATGACTGAACGAATGAGATGTAAGGACACATACACTCCAAAGGGTTGTAGCAGCAGCAATAAGGTCAACTCGCGAAGAAGGAATACCAGCAAGACGCGCCCAGACTGAGAGATGGACGACGTATAAGTTTGGGAGAATCGACCACAGTCGATCAACTTGAGAGTAGTTTCTGTTGATCTCGGAGACAACGAGGAAGACAAAGCCAAGAGCAATAGAAATGGCAAAGCCTGAGATGAGAGGGTTTGTATCAACGTAAATCTGCCTCAGCCCGTCAGGACTGGCAATGTTGTCAAGAATCTGTCGAGGAAGAGCATAGAGCTGCGGAATGTAGGGTTGGGCTGTTTTGACATACTCGCCACAGTCCTCAATGGACTTGACGAATGGGAGAGACATGATGCTTGATTTTGACGAGATGATGGTTGATATCAGATTTTGGGTCCTCGATATGAACGCAGCACAGCTGGTTTAATACCTAAGGTACGGACAGGTAGTGATGCACAGCTTCAATAGCGTCATAGATGTCAATTCCAGGCGGAAACCACTTTAGACCTGAGCATGGAAGGACACCCGACCTCTGCCTGGTTCCCGCCTTGTCTGTGGGACCACTAAGCTTTTAGGTGACACTCCCCTAGATTAAGCGGATTCAGCCGCTGTGGCCAGTGGTTATCCGCCTGTGAGCCACTGAAGGGGCTTAATCCTGTAGTTAGAACTTAATTTTCAACGTCAAACCTTGGTCCTGTCCCAAGTTTCCCTCCTCACCGTGAATATCAGAAATGAGCTTCAGAACGTTGGCATAAATATTGAGGCTACAGGTGTTTCAGCAAACAATTTGCCATGGTTACTGGCAAACAATTTCAATAGCTGCTGGAAGTCTTATTATTGAGAGACTATGGCAGCAAATTATTTTTGCTGCAAACGCGCCTAGTTTGACCGTGTTTGTTATGCACATCG